AATACTTACCCTGTGGTGCATTTGAGTGGGAAAATCCCGAAGGATTCAATGCTCTTCATGTACCTGATGATTCTCCAACTGGATATATATTGGAAGTAGACTTGGAATATCCCAGAGAACTTCATGATGCACACAAGGACCTACCTCTATGCCCTGAACATTTTGTTCCTCCAAATCGCAAGAATACCAAGTTAATGACTACTTTGTATGCCAAAAAATCCTATGTTATACATTACAGAAATTTGAAACAAAGTTTGAATCTTGGAATGAAATTGACGAGGATCCATCGAATATTGAAATTCAAGCAAGCAACATGGCTCAAGCCCTATATTGACCTGAACACAGAAATGCGGAAAAAATCGACGAGTGAATTTGAAAAGAATTTCTTCAAATTAATGAATAATGCTGTTTTTGGGAAAACCATGGAGAATGTAAGGAAGCACAAAGATGTCAAATTAGTCACCGAGTGGGGTGGAAGGTGGGGGGCAAGAGCTCGCATCGCTCTGCCTAATTTCCACAGCAGTTTGATTTTCGATGATGATATGGTGATAATTGAAATGAATCGCAAGCGAATCACTTTTAATAAACCGATCTACATTGGATTCGCCATTTTGGACTCGTCGAAAATTTATATCTACGATTTTCATTATAACTATGTGAAACAAGTGTTTGGTGAGCGTTCAAAATTAATGTACACTGACACAGACAGTCTTATATATCATTTCAATGTTCCTGATATTTATGAGTTTATCAAACGAGATATTACGAAATTTGATACTTCCGATTATCCCGCAGAGAATTTTTTTCAAATGCCAAGAGTGAATAAAAAAGTGATAGGTTTAATGAAAGATGAATGTAAAGGGGAAATTATGACTNTATCTTATGTACTTTGATGTGAATAATTTTTACAGTGCAGCGATGAGTCAATACTTACCCTGTGGTGCATTTGAGTGGGAAAATCCCGAAGGATTCAATGCTCTTCATGTACCTGATGATTCTCCAACTGGATATATATATTGGAAGTAGACTTGGAATATCCCAGAGAACTTCATGATGCACACAAGGACCTACCTCTATGCCCTGAAAATTTTGTTCCTCCAAATCGCAAGAATACCAAGTTAATGACTACTTTGTATGCCAAAAAATCCTATGTTATACATTACAGAAATTTGAAACAAAGTTTGAATCTTGGAATGAAATTGACGAGGATCCATCGAATACTGAAATTCAAGCAAGCAACATGGCTCAAGCCCTATATTGACCTGAACACAGAAATGCGGAAAAAATCGACGAGTGAATTTGAAAAGAATTTCTTCAAATTAATGAATAATGCTGTTTTTGGGAAAACCATGGAGAATGTAAGGAAGCACAAAGATGTCAAATTAGTCACCGAGTGGGGTGGAAGGTGGGGGGCAA